GCTCTCTACATATCCACAAAGGGAATGGATAGCTAAATTGTCTGCAGTCAAGACACAGATTGTTCCATACAGAGTATAATTGTGACCTTGCATCTCCACCTGTATACCAGAACTTTCAAGGAGTCTGATGTCCTCTAGCAGTGGTTCCAAAATTTTACCAAACCCATATACCTCTCTGTCCATAGAATTAAATAGAAGACACAAGTGAATATTTGAAAGTGATGAGTTGAATTCTGGTGGCAGATTCCTCATGGCAAAATAAATGGCACCCATTTTATGAATTTTCGTTTTGGAGCCCAAGGGGTTTGTTGTTTCTAAGTCATCAAAATACAACTGTATCTGGAGGGCTTGAGGAAATGTTTTAAACAGTGGATGAGATGAAAATTGAGAGCCATCACAGTAGCTGTGCATTTTGCCTTAGTATGTTTCTTACCCTGGAGGTAAACTTTTTGCATCTGCTCATTACTGAATAAAAATTTAACTGTCTCAATGACTTATATATATTGACATGTGTCTGCTGCCAACACTTGTTTTACTTGTCCCTGTTTTCTTCCAGTGTCTGCCCTATGACCAAGAAATATTTCTTTTGGCTTCACAAGACCAAATTTCTCTGAAAAGTATTTGTTCATTTTGAAAGGCGTGTCTACATCTACTATATACTTAGACTGTGATAATGTGAAGTGTGCTACAGTGTGCTACTGATTGAAACTGTATTGACTCATGGAGGTGATGACCTGAAGATGGTTTGCCGTCCAGGGGATGCACCATGTTGAAGAAACAATTTCTTCGGTGACCACAGTTTTCTACATCTCTGCTAGATCTTTTTTTTTGGGTGTACCTATGTTGAAAGCCAATTTGCGAGTAAGCATATGTGTGCGCGAGATATGTTGTAAAAAGATCTGGGTTAGGACAGAGGATGTGTAGTTGCATGCAAGACTCTGTCCATTAGTGATCACTTTCCTAAAAACATATCTGTCACTCAGAATGAACCAATAGAAATAATTGCTTCCTCACTAAGTTTCATTTTGCTAATTGTCAAGTTTTAATACTGTTAGCTTGTACTATCACTCACAAGTAAAGTGCTAAAATAGGCTTATTGCTTTGCAAAATGCACCCTGTTCACCTCCAGCCAGTGTATCCAGAGTCCAGGACAAGCTCAACAAAGGCTCATTCCTCTACTCATCCAGATCATCAGCACTTCTCCATCTTCCTCACATCTCATCTTCACCACCTCTACCATCACCACTGTGTGGACCTCTTGGGGGTTCCCTATTGGACGATGGATTCATCATGCTCCCTAAATCATACCATCTCAATGGGGGCTAATCGCCAAAGATTTTACACATTTTTCATTCTTATGTGCACATGTTAATAAATTTACTTTTTAATGTAAAAATTGAGTCACTCCTGATTGAAATAGTGAGGTATGTCGTGTAATGTCACAAAAAATGTCATATTATGTCAACAAAATATCATAAAAAACATCATAGTAAAGTGTAAGTGTTGCTCCATCTATTTCTTGAAAATGCCCACTTAAGCTATAGAGACCAAGCATGTAGCTGACGCGTGCTTCAGTAAAACTCTGTAGACGGTGTTCTTCCTTTTAAAATGTTTACTGAAAACTTTGTTCTTCATATACAAAATGAAAACAGTACCTAAACATCTTACAAAAACATAATGAGCACGGTCAAAGACTAGTGTGCTCTCAAGGCTCCATAGCTTCAACAGAAAATCTACCAAACTCAGGCAAAATATATCATGCCTTTTAACCACTCAGAAGCGGAAGAGTTGACTACACGATTACACAGCTTATTGGTCCTTATTAAGCATGCTACACTGAGACTATGCTTATCCTCAGCAAATTAAATACATGAAAATATGTTTATGAATATTAATACAAATGGCTCTAACAGTATAGTATGTTGTCAAAATATCGTAAAAACATCATACTATAATATGTCGTCAAAATGTCATTGAAAAACGTCATAGTATAGTATGTCGTCAAAATGTCATTGGAAAGCGTCATAGTATAGTACTAGTGCAGTGGCCGTAGTAAGCATATATTTTGGTAAGGAGGCGTCAGTTGAAAGATGAAAGGCTACATTTGTCTGTGATTGATATGGATACAGATTGAGGTGTATATGTTTAATCAGTTGTTGTTTATGAAGTTGTTGTAATGTCTTGTGTTTGGCTTTTAGCAATGAAACTGTAGGGAGTTGAACCCCATTTCACTAATGTGAAAGTACCACTACCAGTATCTTTTTGCTTTGTCATTGGGAAAAGTGTAAACACAAATGGAACATCAGTCAACTGAGTGAACAGATATTGTGTGGAAATGTATGGGAAGGTATTTCCAAAGATGAGTAAAGTAAAAAGTGAAAAAGTGTGTGTGTCTTATAAAGGACAACTCAGGCCTATGTTCTAAACTTATAAGAGCCATGAGGTGCAGTGTACTTTCTGCAACCAATACGAAGCTATCCTTAAAGCAGGTGAAGTTAGCGGACAGTTAGGTTCGGATGACTGACGCTAAAAGCTTCAACGCAGGTTGCGATGACTGACGGTATAATGCTATGTGAGTGAGGGCAAGGCTAAGCAGGTTCCGTAATGCGTTGGCCTGTGGTTAATGTGAGTTACCTGGCAATGTCGCATATCCGTGATCACGATCATTTGAGTGTGCGTGGGTGTGCGTATCCATGACTGAGAATGTTCTTCCTCCTCTGCTGGTGAGAAGAGAGAGCGTCACGCCCCGCGAAATCCCGCAAGGGCCGACAGAAGGGGACAGACAGACAGACATACATACACACACACACACACATACACACAGAAAGCTGCAGGTGTTGGGGTGGGGGGTGATTTGGAGGGGGGGTTGGTGTTAATGGTGATGATGGTGGTTAGTTTTGGGGCCTTGTGTTTTTCATCCACTTTTTAGTTTTTTTTCAACCCAAGAAAGTGGCAGGTTTTTTCCCACAGTGAAGGCTGCCCCTTTGTTGTCTCAGAGATAACCATCTGAGAGACTTCATCCGTTTCCATGGGTGTTGTGGATCTCTCAGGGATAGGCTCCTGTTTGTTTGCCTCAGGTGGGACTGTGTCATCAGAGACCTCAGCTTGGTCCAGGTCTTTTACTGTAACACCATGAGGGAGAGGCTCCTGTTGGCGTTGCTCATCACGTGGCTCCTCCTCTCGTCTGGCCCTTTTCCTTGGTGGACAACAATCATCTTCTCTCTCAGCCTTGAGCTCAATCTTGAGTTGTCCTGGAAAATTATTTCTTCTCCCTCTGCTTCTCTCTACCTTGTGAATAAACGCAAACAGGTTAAAAATTTTCCGTATACATGCCTGTTCTCAGCTGTCAAAATTGAGCTGCAGTGCTGAGGCTGCAGTTTCAGGACCGCAGTTTTAGGACCCTTCGATTTTTGACATAGTGCCACCTACCGAGCGGAGGCTGCAATACCGGAGGCTGTACCCAAATACTACTTTTTTATTAAATAGTTATGATCAGTGTTGAGCAGTAACTCGTTATTTGGTTAATTTGATTACTTTTTTAAGTGACTGAGTAACGCGTTATAATTTCAAAAATAGGAGAAATTAATTAGTAATAGTAATTACATTATAGTTACAAGCCCAGGTTACGTTACCGTTGCCGGTCCTCTCCAACACCCGTCCTGGGCTACAGGACAGGACAAACTGATATGCTGATTTACAGGAGAATTCATGTCAAATGGAGGATCAACCATGAACATAAACTACAGATCACCTGTAAAGCATTTTAATAAATCAATCTATCATAATTAAAACATCTGGAGACTGAAAACAAACTGATATATGGGTCTGATCACTTTTTTAATGAACTGACATCATTCCAGACAGGATGTAGGCTAAGTGTGTCTGTGTGGAGCCAGGGCAAAGAGCATGGATACCAAGAGGTGAAGCTCCGTTGAATTTTTGCCAACAGCCACTAGGGGCACTGCGGTAACGCTGCCGCCATTTTGGACTGTTGAGCTTGGACTGTTGGGTCCAGACAACATGCAAGATGTCAAGGAGAGAGGAGAAAAATAGTAAAAGAAAACTTTAGTGTTAATGCCTGGACTTGACCACATTTATTTTTATGCCCTGCCCAGTTATTTTACCCTCACCCTAACCACCCCCCAATGATAATTATAGCCTACTGGACATATAAGTTAATGTGGCAAACGTTTTTTTCTTTTAACAGATGCATCCCATATGAAATGCAAGAGAATTGAACGGACCATTTATATCAGAACTGATTACTGCTTTAGCATTAAAATATATCATATTGAAATAGCCTATATATTACTATTATTATTACTGTCCCCTTACTGTACAAACTATAAATAAATCTTTATTCCTGACTATGTGTTGCCGTTAATGTGTTTCTATTTAAAATATTGATTTTTTTTTTTTTTTTTTTTTTTTAGATTGGCTTATGGGGTGATTTTGAAGGAGTAATTAAGTTAATCTTCTCATAAGTGGATGTAATATGTAGAGATGCCATCTAGGCCGTTTTTCTTCTTTTTTTTTAAAGTCTATATTTTGCTTTACAAAAACGTGAAAAAGCAGCTGTGACCAAGCTATCACGAGGTGAGTAGGATTGTAAGCATAATTAATAGCGATATACTTCAGTTTGTCTGTGTGTTTTTGTATGCAAACGGGTCTGCTGCGGTCTGCTGACAGTCCAAAATGGCGGCGGCAGGACGAAACCATGGGCGAGTCTGTTGCTATGGGGCGTTTGGAGCTTCGCCTCTTCGTATCCATGCTCTTCGATGGATGCGCCTTTCCGTCAAAATAAAAGCACCAAGCTAATAAAAATGCGGTGAAACTTTTTAATTTGAAAATTTACAAGAAAAGCCCCAAGCCATTAAGTTAACCTTTTTCTTTTATTGTAAATCGATGGTGCGCCAGAATTTAAAGTTTTACTTTGGTGAACACTTTTACTTTGGTGAATTTGGTGAATTCCGGATCCGCTCTCTAGACCGGAACCAGAATCCAGACAAAATTCAGAGTGAATGAAATCAGGCTCTTCCCCGTACGTGAAGAGCCTGGTGACGCGAGGCTACTGTTGGGAAACTGTCCAACTTCACTGCAGCTTTTTGTCACCGTCCCGCTCTCGTCTACTTTGCAGGCGAAGCGCAGTTCCATAGACATATACGTAGACGCTGCATCGAGCGCTGAGCCGTACGTCAACGTCGCCGCCATATTGGATGTGGCAAGCGGAGAAGATGCCTCATTCATGTGCTGCGTGGAAGTGTACGAATCGTTTTACTGTCCAAACCAAATCCCAGGGAATAACCTTTCACAGGTAAGACTTAACAATTACCTTTGATAGTATATGGCCCATAGACTGCATGATTTGGGCATTATAACATAATAATTTAACAACTCAGTTTACACATCTATAGTCGGAAAGGAACAGGAGGAAGAACAATCTTACATTACCAGAACATAAACAATGAATTAGTTCGGTCAAACCTGCCTTCAAACAATGAAGTTGTCATTCTTATTTTATTCAATTGCTCCGAACATTTTAGTAAGATTGTTGTTATTTGCTTGACTAACTTTTGTCATACTATGTAGGTTTCCCAAAGATACTGCTCGGAGGAAACAGTGGGAAGTAGCTCTCCGGAGGGAAGGGTTTTCTGCTAGCTCGTCTTCCATGCTCTGCAGTGAGCATTTCAAGCCGGAGGACTTTGACAGAACAGGCCAGACAGTCAGGATCAGAGATGGAGCTGTCCCTTCTGTCTTCAGTTTCTCAGCTCACCCCCAGAGGGTATGTATATCACCATAGGCTGTAAGGTTTAAATAAATGAATGGCATACCGTGCTGATTTGTTTTCTGTTCTGAGTGTGAAAGAATCAGTTATGTATTTTGTAATAATACACTGTGATAAAATTAAAATATTGTATCCCTCACTTTAGCCTGTTGCTACCAGGACAGCTGAGCCCTCAAAGAAGGTCCTCAAAGAAGAGACTCTGGCAGTGGACTGTTCCCAGCTTGTCCAAGACACTGATGAACCCCTGCCTGTACCCAGTGTTGTGAGTACCAAACAGACATGCCTCAAATAGTTGTGCACATCATGATCCTTGTTATGTTCAAATCTCTTGTCATCTCCCACTCCGTCACTATTTTCAGACATACTCACATGCACATATGCACATACATGAAACATGTCAGTGATGAATGTGTATCCCTGACACACACACACACACACACACACACACACACACACACACAGTGCTGGCAGAACAAATGTGGAGTGATGAGATTAAGAATGTGGGACGGTTGACATCACTTTGTACTAGCAAAGATGTGACTGGCTGTGACTGGGTGATTGACTAAGTGTAATATAAACATGAGTTATAATATTTTCATCCTTTGTTTCTACTAGGACCACTCCTATGTCCTGCCTTCATCACCTGATGATCTGAGGGCCAGACTTAGTGATGCCTTGGCTAGGGTGGAGAGTCTGGAAAGAGAGAAGAGGAATGCAAAGGATAGAGAAAGGAGGGCAAAGAACACTGTGTGCAGTCTTCTGGAGAATCTCAGAGGAAAGAAACACATAAATCAAGAGCTGAAAAACAAGCTTGATTCATACTCAGGTAAAATGAAAATACAAATTTGTAGAAAATCTAAACGTAGTTGAATTATACTTTACCGTCTTTGTTTAGACTTCCTTGTTATTTCAAGTGTACTTAATAATTAGCTTCTGCTGATTGAATTTCAGAATTTGATTTCAGAACGGCTCAAATGTGTTAGTTTGTTGCCTGAAAAATGGCAAAAAATAAAAAATGAGAAGATATGTCTGTGTATTTTTCTTATTGTTGTGAGGGGGGATGTTTTAATCCACACTCTATTATTTAT